CAATTATTCGAAGGAAGTAGTTGTTCATCTTCAGTATATGAAAGTATTAAGGCACAAAACAAGCCTCTTGAATTTATCAGATTCAGATATCAGATTTATCAGAAATCTAAGGAAATTGTAAAACTCAGAAGTGACAATTTGTTACACTAATGCTGATATATTTCTGCTATTACACATTATAGTTAGACAGTAATTTACTTAAAGCACCAAAAATGGAAAGGAAAAAAAACAGTAATTTATTGTTACATTTTTGTTGGTTTGGATATCAGGAGTTTTAGTATACAGAGTAATCTTCTTGGGCTCTAACTGTGCTATTTTTAGTTACCACACTGGGCTGAACACACATAAGGCTCTTCCCATCACCACCACACACACAAAAAAAAGATTTGTGCACACATTTCAACATCCATTTCTTAGGAGATACAGAGACATATGGAAGCTGCTAGCTAGAGAACACTACCTGTGACACAATCAAAATGAGATGTGTTGCCACCCCTGCCATCTTAGCTTGCATTTTTCACTTTGATGTTTAAGAGTTTTCCGGCTTCTCTGCTGATTTTACAAAGAACTCTCACAGTCACTGACAAGCTTGCACTGAACAGCACAAAGCAGAAAGTAAGGCTGATTCGCTCCCTAACTGTGCTCTTCAATTCACTTTCACACCTCACCTTTGCAAATATCTTGTGAGTTCAGGAGAAAGCCTGCTGTCCTCAAATAACTGCTAAAACAGATCCGCCCTAATCTCTGGAGGCTTTCAGGTTATTAAGCTTTGAAAGACTTCTGTCGAGGCATCCCCTACTCATCTTCTTTAGCAGCCAGGTTAAACAGTTGTTTTCCCTTCACCCATACATTCAAGATACTGGACAGTAAGTCAGAGTGCTGTTTTAATAAAACATTACCGAGCTAAATCACCAATGCTAGTGTAAAGGTTCCAGCAATCCAAATCCTCTGGAGATTGTATAACCTAAGAATGTGCTCCCAGGAGGGGATTCTCTAAAAAAATTCTCTTAAAAAAAAAAATCCATCCTCAATATATTGAGATACACAATAACTGAAACTAGAATACATTTCCAAACTGTACCTTTCTCCCTCTCCCTAATCATGAAAACATACCCATCTTTTCTCTATTTTGAATATAGTCTGGTTAGAAGTGAGTAAAATAATGATGAAATACTATGGAAACTGATAAGAATAGACTAAATTCTCCCGTTTGATGTATATTTGCAAATTTGTATTGTAAAAGAATGGTTGTGTAATGTCATTTGTACTAAAAAAAACACAAAAGAAAGCAGCTTTCCTACTACAGTCAATGAGCGTTGGAGTTGGCGCCCCACCTGGGATATCGAGCCCTCTGTTCTTGTACCCTTGAGCAAGGTACTTCACTCAGACAGCTCAGCTGATCTCTTTTTAGAGATGAAAGTACTTATTACCCTGAACAAACTATACCAAACCTGGAATGCAGCATAAACATGAAAATAACACTTTTACAAAGAAGCTGTAAGACACAAAAAAGATCTAAGCCACAGTGTGTTAAATTGTCATCTTTAAACAAAAAGTACCCACGTGAAACATGCGCTCATTTGGTGGGAAACAGCTAAAGCACCAAACCCCTGGCGTTTGAAAGGAGTCAGCTTAGAGAATCCGTTTGCCTGCTTGTGTGCAGTGCGGCTTTGGCGCCCTGAGAGACCCTGGAGGGTGTCCTTCACCCTACAATGCGTGCTGAGCCACACATGTATCACTGGTCCGGACACTCGGGTTACCAAGGCAGATCCCCATCTGCTACTGAGCCTGCGGGGGCATCAGCAGGACTTTAAGGGGTGAGGGCAGCAGATCAAGTCCTAAGGGAACAGGCAGCACACCCTACTCCCCTACTCCAGGTTTACGCAGAATGAGCTTTGGATGCTGCCTTGGTTGTGTCCTCAGGATCGCTGATCTGATGAAGTGGGTAGTCGCTGTACTCCTCTGATGAAGTCTATGTCTATGAGTGGGCTTGCTGCATTTAAATTCTTCTCAACCTCCACAAGGTACTCCATCCCTTAAGACCTAAAGCAGCCCCATGCCACACCCCGACTGCCAAGATGCGGCAGGGGCAGTACAGAGACCCTTTCACTGCAGATCTGTCCTTTTCATCTCCATATAAACTCTCGTCTTTGCAAATGGTCCCCATTCTTACCATACCAGACTACAAGACACTATTAAAAACTCCGGCTTGTCTTCACATTTTGGCAGTTTACTGTACACATACTCCGGTTTGCCACTTCTTTTCAGGAGAAGTTTGCACCGAAGCCACGTCTGAAGCCGTGTTTCTACTGCCCTCTTCTAAACGCGGCTGCCTTGGTTCTGGAGTTTTCAAACAATCTGTGTTTTTTGGTTATTTCTGGTATGATAATTGGACTCTGAGGTTAGAAGAGGGTTTGTTGTAACTATTGCTGTTCCATTGATATTGCACTACTTCTGAAATATTTCTGCCACCCCTAAACAACTTTAACCTTTTTTGCAGCGTATCACATTCATAGGGTTTCTCTTTTGTGAATCTAATTAGGTTGTTATTGTGGTTATGGAAACTGATGTTATATTATACACTGCCCTTTAGATTTATTCATACCACCAATGATATAAGAACAAAAATAGCATTTAGCAGATTGCGTTTAGGATGGGATAATGCATCTCACTTAAATCTTTCTAATAACATACTGTAATCATAGCAGCATTGCACAGAGCAAGAAAAGATCTAAATTCCAGAAAACAATACGAGACACATTAAGACTCAAACCTTAAGGTATGCCTTTCAATAACGTTAAAGAAAAACAAAACACAATGACATTCTGCTCTTTGGAAGGCAATGGAAGCCTTCAGAACAATACAGAGGACCTGAAGGTTCCCTGGGATATGAAAAGAGGCAGCACACTGAAGACATTCAGTACCATCATCATGGTTAAGATCAGAAAGCTCTTCAGACAGTATATTGCAGGCAAATGGTCATTGATCTCTGCAGGTTGGGGCTTGGCTATAAAATAATATTCATATACAGGGCCTTCATCTGTTATGCCTCCAAGCTCTGGAACTCTTTGCCCAAGGATATCAGAGAGCCACCTTCTCTAAACTCCTTCAAATCCAGACTCAAAACCCTCTTCTTCAGAAAAGCCTTTACTTAACTGGTTCCATTCTTCACCCCTCTGCTCTTCTTAGTACAACCATCCACGGTCTCCTCTATATATTGTAATTGTGTCTTATCTTGTGTATTCTCCTTATTTATTGTTATACTCTTCTTATTTATTGTTATTGTCATCCTGTAAAGCGCTTTGAAAAGCCACCTTTAAAGGCACTATATAAAAAAGTTTATTATTATAGTTTATTATATACCAGTTTCTACTGTAGAGTCCATTAATAATAAAATGAAGGCTACTGGTGAATTACTCTTGCCAAACAATGCTCAACGATAGTTGTACAATGCTCAGATGAAGTGAAAACCAGGCTTTTTGGATGTTGCCCACTGTGCAATATTGGGGGGGTGGAGACTATTATGTTTTACATCTACAGGTCCTGGAACTCGTGTCAAGAAAGGAAGAATCATGAACTCCAACACACAGTGGGACATGCTGGGCAGACACCTGGTTCTTCCTTTCAAGAAGCTCCAGCTTGGCCAAAAATGGACATTCTAGCAAGACATTGGTACAAAGCACACGTCCAAAGCAACAAAAGAATGATAAACCGCACACAAAATAAATGTTCTTCAAGACCATTTGAACCTGAGATTCAGGATGGCAGTTCACTAATGGGAACCAAAGGGTCTGAAGGATGCCATGAATTAACCTCTGAGACTCCAGAATCACACAGCCCACTACAGGAGGTGTCTGTTGCCCGAGGACAATTTACAAACATACATACAGTGTAAATAATTATATCATTTTTCTGGACTTCAATTATGACAAATTTAACTTTGCTGTGAGCAATGCTATTAACATTAATAGCTAACATTTTAGAAACATTAGCCTATCTGTATATTTTCATTATTTTTTGTTTATTGTTCTCATTTAATCGGGGTTTGAATAAATTTGGGAGGCACTGTATGTCAGTTTGTACTGTAGGTCAGCACAAATGTAGATAGTGGTATTTTTCAGATTACATAACGTATATAAACCGTTCGTGAAGGTTAAGTAAATAGTGAACACATTTTCAATAAAACCGACATTTCTTTGTAACGTAGGTTAAAACATTACATGGGTATTGTACTTCCATACAGCTGCATATTCCAATAACTTTTTAAATAAAATTATGTTCCTTTCTTACAGTATACACTCCCTGTTTCGAACATATACAGGCATATCCACATAGCCTTTTAAAAAAGCCTTTGAACAATTTATTTCACTGTGTATGGGTGTGTGCTTGAGACACGAAAAACATTATCGAGCTACTGCAAATCACCACGCTGCTTCGTGGCGTCAATAACTAAATACTGGACGAATCAAATATAAAAAAGGGGGTAACAATACAAATAGCTACCTCAATCACTCTGTGCAGTTAACAAAAAACTTCCACACAGTGCTTTATCGGAGACATACAACTACAGTGATACCGGACGGAGTGGCTGTTAAGGATTAGCAAGAAAAACCGGTATCCAGTATTACGCGAGACAGTGATTTCTCATGCAATAAACCAAGACTTCATGATGTGATACTACACAGACATAAAACATTCCTACATTCCCAATACTTTGAGAATATAGTGGCGGCACTCATGATAAGACAGCGATTTGATACATTCTCTCAAAAACGGAGCACCGCACCGACTGCCATGAGCTGGTACTCAGACTATAGTCTCTTAAACACTGCTTTTCTCCGTCTTCCCATTCAGCCTGATTCAAGGGTAGCTCTGCCCGCAGCTTGTGACAGCTCTTATTAAAAGATCTCGTTCGTCGCATTTAAGAAGACTGTCACCCCCTTTCTTTTACGCATCTTCACACCGACGTCGCTGAAATCTTAAAAATAAGGACTACTAACCCCTTTTATCGCGTTACAAAAGCTGCCGTCCGGGGAGCAAAGGAAGAGCAAATCTTTTCGCTGCTCGTCGGTGGAACAGGTTTCGTCTGGATTGCGAATTCTATTTTCTCTCAGCGACTGTAGACATGCATGCAATTCATCCCCATAAAATGTGTTATATCAACCCGAAATTTGCACACTCACCCCTTATTTTATTATTTTTTTTGTCACAGACGCGATGGCGATGTTTTTGTTTATTTCCTAGTCCCCATGAAATTGTGCGTCACCAACTTCCGTGTTAGCAGAAAGGAAAGAAGTCATGCGCGTTGGGAGACGGGCTCGGTGGGTTAAAAATCTCTGGCAGCGATTTAAGGAGACAGATGCTGAGGAAAACTGTAGCACTGCGGGGAAACTAGCTGCTCGGGATAGCAGGGTCCAAGGAAGGCGGAGACATCGGGAGACGATTAGTTAATTAGTGTTTGTAGTGTACAACAACACATATTCCACATGATTTTTTTCTCTCTCATTTTATTGATATAAAGAGCATTTCAGTTTTAGAACAGGGTGGCCAAATGACCCCACATCAACTGAATACGTAGGATGGGTCTTACATATTACCTCTAATTTAAAACAAATTAACTCGCAGGCTAATAGGGATTACATCATTGGTGTATTCTCTTTTTGATCAAAGCTTCCAGTGGTCACATGGTCAGAACAGCTGATCAGCATCACTGATGTCTTGCAAAGAGCGAAATTGAAGATGTACTATATGCACGTACAGAGGGCAAAAACAAGTAAATAATTGGGGTTAAGTACAAAATAAGAGCAACTAAATAAAATAATTCTAATTACTCTGCCTGGTGTTAAACAACATCTTTCAATTGGCAAACAATGTCCAGCTTGCAAAATTGCCCCTGGTGTGAATGTGTGTGTCTCTGTGTGTGCCCTGCGATTGAGTGGCAACACGTCGAGGGTTTACCCTGCCTGTGCCCTTTGCTTGCCAGCATAGGCTCCGTCTCCTCCACAACCTTAATTACATCAAGTCTTTAGGACTTTATCCTTTAGGGTTTTCTGTAGGTTATACCAGGTTATACCAGGTGAACCGATTGTTTCTGTGTCCTGGTGCTTGTGCACAAGTGCTAAACCAGTGATGGACTTGTGCCCCTGTTCAGGATGAAGTCCCACTTTGTGCTCTGTGCCTCCAGCATAGGCTTTGGATTGCCTTGACCCTTACGAGATTGGCTTGCCAATAATGATTGATGAATTCAGGTTCTGCAGTTGATCTTAAGCACCAGAAAGAAAGTTAATAATAATAATAATAATAATAATTAATAATTGCTTACACTTATATAGCGCTTTTCTGGACACTCCACTCAAATCGCTTTACAGGTAATGGGGACTCCCCTCCACCACCACCATTGTGCAGCCCCACCTGGATGATGCGACGGCAGCCATAGTGCACCAGAACGCTCGCCACACATCAGCTATTAGTGGGGAGGAGAGCAGAGTAATGTAGCCAATTCATAGAGGGGGATTATTAGGAGGCCATGATTGGTAAGGGCCAATTGGAAATTTGTGGCCAGGACACCGGGGTTACACCCCTAGTTGTTCTTCTATTTAAATCACAGTCTCATCATGAAGGTTGTACAAAGTTTCAGAAGTGTTTTCACTAGCTGTTTCTCCAGTCATCTTTCTGCAGGCAGCCAACATCAGCTTTTACATTGGAAGGTTTTTCTGGCTGTGCTTCTCTATCAGTCAACCTATTTTGTGCTGACATTAGTATCATCTCTTTAAAGCTGTGAGACAAGAGTCAGGTGCTGGCAAGTTCTACATCTTACAGACTATAATTTTCTGCAGTTTACAGCTGGTGTCAGACAGACCTGTGTTCCACTAATTTTAGAGCACACTAAGTTGGCATCATGCAGGCTTTCAAAAACTTTAAACTACATCTGTCTAGAGACACCTACAAATGGAGTCACTAGAGAGCTGGGTGCTGTGGAATCTACAGGATTATTAATTCAAGAATCAAATCTTAAAATATTTAATCACTCATTAATAAAATAATTCAAGAAAGTCTGGCACAATACAATGTATTCGTAAGTTCTTAGAGACAGCACAGTGGCACAGTAGTTAGCATTGCTACCTCACAGTGCTGAAGCCCTGGGTTCAATTAAAGACCTGGGGTGCTATCTGTGTGGAGCTGGTATGTTCTCCCCTGGATCGTGTGAGTTTTGTCCACTAGTGCAAACAGATCCTGGCAGGTTAATTGGCTTTTGGGAAAACTGGCCCTTGTGCGAGTGTGTTCCTGTCCCTGTTTGTGCCTGTGTGTGCTCTGAGATGGACTGGTGTCCTGTTGAGGGTGTATCCAGCCTTGCACTCCACTGATTGCTGGGATAGGCTCCAACTCCCCTGTGACCCTGTATTGGTTAAAGCAGTTAGAAAATAGACAAAACAAGTTTTTATTTTATTTGCAATTATTTCACAGGTTCCTTAAAAAGGAAATGTATATGGTTAATTTATCATGTTTAATTTACTTTTTCAAACAGTTTTATTGTGATACACAACTATTTTGAAAACATCTTTAAAAGGCCATATATATTGGCCTATTATAAGGTCATATAATAAGGTACTGTGCACTTAAAGCTGAACAATCACAGTCCTCTGTTTGTGTGATCTCAGACTTGATTCTGAGTTGAACAGATTCCAATGGTTGGAACCTCTTGAAGGATAGCAAAGGATAAAATGATCATTGCATTAGCTTTGGAGGAAGAAAACAGATGTGAATCTGGGACATATGTTAAGAGCTGAACCTCTTAACAGGTGGAATTTGAGTGTTAATACTAAGGCCACCGAAAAAGTAAATTCCTGTGTTTTGAGCCGTAGGGGATCAGAGCACTTAAGTCCCAGAGTGAACATACTGGGCTCTGTGTTACAGTGGATCAGGCTAGGGAGTGTTTTACATAAACTCCTTAATTTGTAATTTTACGTCAGAATTCTGCAAAAAGATTGAGCGTTCTTTTGAAGTTGATTGATAATCTAAACTCAAATCCCGGTATTGCCATAATTGAAAGGAGATTGTGCATCTTGATTTTGCGGCCATTGAAAAGTAGTTCATACAGTTTAGTAATCTGATGTGTCCTTTGGTAACCTGCTCCTACAGTCTACATATACTTTTTTACTCCAATCTCTTTTATTACTGCTGGTGTTCACTGATAAGGGAAAGACTCTGACAATGCAGGAAGAAGCTGTAAAAATGAAACTGCACATTGCTCATCTTTAAGAAACGTGGGGACACTCCCCCCTCTCATCACATGACCACTGTACTGTACTGATGTCACCTGGAGCAGTCCTTCAATAGATATCAAGACATTTATAAGGCCCGTCCTTTGGACGAGACGTAAAACAGAGGTCCTTACTCTCAGCGGTCATTGAAGATCCCGGTGTCTGGGCCAAATTCCCCCCCTCGGCCTAGAGGAAGGTCCTACATGTTCCATGCTGGATTTGATCGCATTCCATTTTACATACACAAGAAAGATTACAAACGACATCACAGATTACAGATGACCATTCTATCTATTGAGTAATTTTGATCATTCAAAGCTAATTAATTCAACAATCTCATCCAGTCTTTTCTAGAAAGAATCAATGGTATTGGCTTCAAGGCGTTTCGTATTGACAGGGGTAGCTTGTTTCATACCTCTTCTGCCTCTTGTTTTTAAAAGCATTTACAAAAGAAATACATTTCAGACCAGTTTTGAATCAAATACCTTTCACATGTGAGGTGAGAGTGATAACCACATCACTACAAAAACGTTTTATGAGCATTATATTTGCCAGCCCATTGGTATGTTCAATGTTAAAGTTTACTGCCTCTCCACAGTGCAGTTAGGACTGCAGTGAATTCACTCCAAATACACATTGACATTCTCTGTGTAAATATTAAATTTAAAGGGATCTATAAAACACAGCATGGAACTTGTGTTCCACTCAGTGGGTTACAGAAGACATCTCTACATGTCTGGCTCCTGAAGCAAACAAAACATCCAACACAGCAAAAAGAAAAGGCCTCCTACCTCACCACATATAACCACAGATACCGAAAGGTCTCTCTAAAGTTATACCATCCTTTTACAAAATACAAAAGTTTGGGTTTTGAAAACATCTTAGTACTGTAGAATTGAATTAGACTGCAGCATAATTTGTTTCCTGCTAACCTTAGGCACACAGCACCCACCACAATGCAATTTAATTTGAGTTGCACAGAAGAAACCATCACTAGTTTTAAGTTATAATAGTTCTTCAGCTTGAAATAATGATTTCAAAGTTCCCCAAACCTAATTAAAAAAAATGTTGGTTCACTGACTACATGGAGATACAACACAGGGCTTACTCCCTGATAAAATCAATATAGGACTTTTATTAAAATATACATACAGTAAAACAACGTTCTGTTCAACATGTTCTTATATTAGGCTCAAATCAACAGAATAGCAAATGTGCCAAATGTACTAAACTGATTCTTTTTGTATCCAATTGGATACAAGGCTATGTTGATACTAGTTGTTTCTGACAGATTCTGGTCATAGGCTAGTTGTTCCATACAACACCAGTGTACATAAATGTTAAAACTCCAAAGAAGATGAAATAAAAAAGCCAGACAGAATCAGGAAATCCTTAATGCCCATCAGACTGTAGGCTGTAGTCCAGAACAATGAGAGAAAAGGGACTGTGAACAGCTGAAACATATCAGGGATCTAGTCAGTGAAACAAAATCATCACAGCTGCAGCCTCATCGTTTTACTGCTATAAGAGAAATGCACACTCAGGAAAAGAGAGAGGACGTTTCCAACATACAGCACCACTTAAGTCAAATGTGTTAAATACAAGCTCTGAAGAGCTGCAACATTTTCTGACTTTATTTCTACCCCAGTACACTTTTACTTGTGCCCCCCAGGAAGTGTTTGACTTTCTTAATAAATCTATTGTGACGTTTTATCACCGAATTTTTCCTTTAAAAGTTAATCAGCAACTTTTTATTTTAATTGCTTATTTCTGCAATGCTCAATTGTCACGGTTATACTCAAGGTCAGTGCAACAAATTTATAAGCCAAAATATACAAATGGAAAAAAGAAACACAACACCTCCTCCTCCACACTCTAGCCCTTTTCCGGATGTTTCAGCAGCAGTACGGGTGGCAGACCTGAAACGATCTCTCAGATGGACCAGTCTGATGTGTCGGTCCTGCTCTGGTGTGGTCACCCGAGAGCGAATGGATCTTGGACAGTCATCTGTCCTGCCGGTCTGCTGAAACCTTCTCTGCAGTCGGGACACAGTGGAGCAGCCTACTCCATAGTGTCCGGCAATGCTGGCACATGACATGCCTTCCTGCAGCATGCCAATGGTCCTCTCCCTTGCTTCTGGTGACGTTTGTGGCAATCAGGAATGCACAGAAAACTGACCTGATCAGGCATTGCTCCACCTGAACCTCGGTGGGTAAAAGTGCACCTAACGAGCTTTTGTGTGATTGGCAAGTTGTAATGCCTCACTGCACAAGCTGTATTGCTGGTCACAGGGCTTAAAACAAATCGACAACTTTGTGTGAAAGTACATAAGCTAGAACTATAGTATTCTCATTCCAGAAAATGTTGCGTTTCTTTTTTCCATCAGTATATATAAATATACTGTATACAGTATGGATATGAAATTATTGTGTGGCTGTTAGCTACTTTACTGGTTGTGCTTATCTTCTGAACCTCTTTAACCTGCCTCCTGGAATTTCACTGACTTGCCCTTCTGAGTTCATGTGCATGGTAATGGAAATACCCTCCCTATAAGAATAACAGTGAACAGATAAGAAAGAGGAGAGCATGCCAAAGTATGGGCTTTACTGTAATAACACTAAGCAAACCGTCTTCTCCAATGTGGCCATCTTAACTGTTACTCATTTAAAAAATCAAGCATTCAGTTCTTAAATGGAACACATTTGTATACTGTATGTCAAGATGAAACCAAGTACATTGACATTTCATTTCTATTGTAAGGGCGCATGTTATCGTGACAAGATTCTTTTTAATTTATGCAGTCAGTTAAAAAAATTCTCATGTACAATGATGACAACTTGGAAAAAAACAGCATGACAAGAGCCTGTCAATATCACAATGATTTAGTCCCAACTCTTAGCCGAAACAAAACAAATCTGTAGCCCAGTTCAGCAGTATTAGAAAATTCTATTTTTTCTTAGTATTTTATGTCTAACAGAACTTTAAGAGTTCTACTGTATCTACTATTTTAAAAAATTCATGAATGTCAATTAGGTTGCTCAAGACACCCAGATGTTTGACATCCGTTTTTACATGATTAGTTAAAGGAACACACCCAGCAGCTGTTTCCTTATTTCCCACAGTGTTTTACAAGTCAAGCCCATACTGCTGGACAGGACTATAGGCTCAGGGCTTATTGTAATGTATTACAAGCCTTTCGTACTTCTAAAACACATTTCCCTCCCACAAAAATCAATGCCAAGGTTAGGCTCCTCACTTTGGTCTCCAATAGCCAAAAGCTAAGCTGCAGTACATTTTGTTTCATGAACAGATTGACAATAGATTTCCTACAGGGAATCAATTTAAGCAAATTTAGTAAGGACATTTTTATTTTTAAAAGAAATATATGCAGTTTAAACCACTATGGAATATTTCAGTTTTGTGGAATTGTTTTTTTTCTTTGTAATACAGCAATGCCCTGTCTCCACTCCCATGACAGGTTGAATTTGTGGAAGTGCCGTCTGTCTTATGACTCAGTGGTGCCTAGGATAGAAAAGCCTGTGTGATAAGATCCTGTAAAACTGTTTGCAGGGTTATAATTACATTTCTGTCTCCCATGCTACATGATACTAACTACGTGATTTGATCAGCTCTGCAAAACTGTGTAGTGGTTTGAACATGACCAGGAAGAAGTCAGAAAAACCCAGTGTCAGTAAAATTCACAGACTCTGAAATGCGGTGTGTAAAGATCATAAATATGGTGATGAAAACCATTCTGCTGGAGGTGAATTTTTGCCTCGCTTCCTTCAAAACATTTTTAGCACAATCATGACTATGCAAAACTATTTCTTCCTGTCCAGATATCTTACTTGGAAAGCACACCATTTAAGATAAGACTTACTATACGCTAATGGCATTTTGCCAACTATCATTTGTCTTGCAACTCCCGATTTTAGCTTAGCTGTAGTCTTGTATTTATTTGTCCATATTACCTTTTGATTTTTTCTGTTTAGGCCCTGATGCCAATGGCACATTTGTCTTTCAGTAGATCTTTCTTTACAGACTCCTGACTCATATTTTAGGAGTCTATACCAGTGGCTTTTTAAGATCTTAGTTGCTTTGAGCATTACACCCAGGATGCTGCAGTGGATTACATCTACAGACTATGCATTAATAAAAAAACATTCACAACAAGCATTCCAGAACTGATCTGAAAATGGTGTTATTTGCACAGCTTTTCTTCTTAATTATAATATTCAATTTAATGTTATATTTGAGTAATAACGAGTCAGGCTCTTGCTAATGCAAAGGTTAACACCCATTATACCCTGTGGATGTTTCTCAAACAAAGGAAACGTGGCATAGACCTCCTGGAAGGAAAATCAGCACTGTGCAATTAATTTTCCCATCTAGTTCATTCATTTCAATTGCCTCTTTTTTTTTAAAAAAAAAGACACTTAAGAACATACCAATTTTATTCAACTTATGAAAACATGTACAGTATGCACCAATTACTTACTTGGTCCTACTCTAAACAGTGACAAACACAAAAACCATGTGTCTGAAGTATTTAAAGTACAAATATCAGACAAACTAATGTGCATGGGCTCCCATGCTACTAAATGCATTCATAGCAGTGCTGAAAATGGAAATTTTATACTGAACTCATACTGTACATGTGTTGGCTCTGAATTAGTTTACAATGCAGCCACAACCAATCATCCTGTTAACTAATACAAGTTTAAAATACACAAGCTTCAATAATTTAATGATGAGCTATTTTAAATCAGTCTATGAGGCATAAAGACATCATCTCAGAGGATGTGTTAGTCACTTATAATGTCTTGCTAATCTTAAGTCAAGAGGTTATTACACACTCGAAAAAGCTAGTAAATAGGAGGGAAAATGTGTCACAGCACTGTAAATAATTTTCCCCATACAAGATCCATGATCCAAGATAAGTTATTAGAAGTTCAAATCTTTCATTTATCAATTGAATTAATCTCAATACTGAGCAGGTCATTTTTTCAGTTCTGTACCACAACAGGCAATGAATAACACTCTGAAAAGTAATAAAAGACAGACATTTTTTTATTAGATTTTTTTCCTGTTAACAGCACTCAAAGTCTTAGCAAAACAGCAAACAGCATTGTGCAATTATTAAAAAAAATCCTGGCATTACAAAAAAAGTAGTTAAAATGATCTTTTATGGCAACAAACAATATTTTTGTTGTATCCCAAAAACTGTATGCTTGATGGCCATATATATCTAGTAGATATTTGTATATAAAATATTACATTGCATCCTAAACTTTTCCTCAAGGTGATATGGAATTTCTTTCAACTCGCACTGCTGAATTTCAACAAGATGTGTAACCCACGTGCCACCAACAAGCCCTGTTTCCTAGCAGTGAGGCTTGAAATACGCGAGGGCGGTGGAAGGGGAAGGTGAGGAATATTGAAACGTGACAGACAAGGTGGGGAAAAAAACACTTCAATAGAAGGACAAAACAGGACAAGGACACAGCAACCTCCCTCAGAACAGGCTACATGGTAAAGATTAATCATTAAAGTGCATCTTTTAAAGACTTGTCTTGTGAAGAGTTATCTTCAGACCTATAAAAAAACAGATATAACGTGCAATGTCCAAGTTAAAACCATTCTAATATCTTTAAAAACTACTTATTTACAGATTTGACCATTCATTTTGCTACAAATGAAAATGCACACTACAGTAGTTTTCACATTATTCATAAATATTAGACTATTAGACTTGCATGTGCTTTTATTTTGTTGTGTTGCTTGGCATTTAAAAGTTTCAGAGCAAAGTTGGTGTAAAACACATAGCGGTAGTCACATTCCCTTGCTCAATTAAAAAAAAAATTGCTACATGCAACACTTGAATGGTCAGATTTTGGGAAGCTTTGGTGCGCTGATTATTGGGTTCGACTCCTGCAAGTACCTCCGGCCCGCAGTCTTGTAGTCATAGTTGCAGTCATGAGTTTCTGCATAGCGATGTGTAGCACAAAAGTTGTTTCGGCATCTGAAATGAAAGCAAGACCGGTATGTAGCCAGCTCATTCCAGTGATGGCCCCTTTGATGAGTACCTGTAAAAGCTAAAAAGGCCCAACACTAATTAATGGTATGACGTAGCAGCCCTCTAGAGCCTCACCAAAACATTAAGCATTGCCCTTCGCCTTCCTGTCAATTTAGTCAGCGATACAAACACTTTGGGCTGTCGCTTGCAACCACTTCAAGAAGAAAATTCAAGTTCTAGGTTCATAAGTTTACGTATCTAGGTGCTCCATATAATAAAGATGGAGAGAAGAGCTTTAGTTTTGAAGTGATGATTGTTTTCTCAATCTTAAACCTTCTGTAACGGTCTCAGTTTGAGTGGGTCACAAAAATTCTGAAGATTTAAAAGGTGAAACTTCGGAACATCTTTGAATGCAAAAGTGACAGTACAATATCTATCGTTAAGAAGATGAAGCAAGATTCTTTACTTCATCCTGTTTGCCTTTTCATTTAAACCCAATCATTTCCAAAGAAGAACAAGTCTGAATGTACCCTGATGTATGAACAATTTAATTAGGATAACTCCACGTCATGGGTTTTCAAATGTCGTAATGTTACAGTCCAGTATTACAGAACAGCAACACAACTGCACATGAGCATTCAAAATATATACAACAGATTCATACAGGATGAATATTTTTTTCCTGTAGTGGCAGTGATCTCCTGCTTTTAACTGTGCTGTCTATCCTGCAAGAGATACACAAGTCTGTAGATACTGGCCCCCAGGGTCTGGCTTACAAGTCTCAGAAGGATCCACTCTGACTCCACGGCTCCTTTGAGACTAGGAACCATGAAATAACGAATCACGACAATGTCAAGAGAATGTAGACTATCCACTGTCGACAACGACCGTTAAGAATCATTACAACTTACAATTATATGCAGACTTTCCAAGCATGCGCTAACTGTTATCCAAGGCTGTATGCCTGACAAAGAATCCTCCGTGAATAAAGAATCCCTGCACTTTTACCTGCACTCATAGCTTGTGGCCAGTCCGGTTTTCTTTCCGCACAGGAAACAGTGCTTAGAACTTTTCTTTTTAGGAGCGACAGGGGCCTTCACAGGAGGAAGGTGATATGTTGGAGTACCTAAAAAGAATTGTTACATAAATGAACATGTGGGAAAACACTGGATAATTGTGTAATCCAAGGCCCTACAAAAATATACCCCGAGTTCCTGAAAATTATTTTCTGGGAAAAAAAATGGAAGCTTATTTTGGTGCAGGAACAACATTTGCAAGAGGAATAGTCACCTCTAGGGTTTATCTCTCTTCATGTTGCAGATGATATTTAGATGTAATAATATTGCCATTATTCGCCTTAAACACAAATTATTTTAAAAAATCTTGCACTTGAGGGGCCTCAAGCAAAGGCTGAACACCATGATCCAGGCACTGTAGGTTTGCGCGAGCTACAGGCAGCTTGGCTGGGATTCCTCAAGTAAGGTCGGAGGGAAAGCTGGGATTAGTCCGCCAGCTACACTGAAAAACCTGTGACTACCTAGTGCTCGTAGGCTCACGGAGCGGTAAATGAGGGACAATCTTCTTGTGCAATTAAGGCTAAACTGCCTGTGACACGTTAAAGGCAAAGGGCTTGGGCAGGTTGGAAGAGTCTGCCTGCATTACCCAGTTCTTTCCTGCATGCATCAGTAAGGGTGTTTTTCTCAACCACGATTACAAACAACTAACACAAATCGGCTGAACTTCTCACCAAAATACATCAATAATTAACATTTAAAATGTTAAATGCTCTTATAAGAATGAAAAAACACTTTTGAACATTTTATTGTGCTCCAATAAGCTTTTTACCATATTTAGATCTTCTATATATTTGTTTGCCAGTTATAGACTAAGAAACAAGACATTAAACAATAAAACCATTTACGATTGAAACTAAAATATTTAGTGCAAGAAAACACAGTACATTATTAAGTGGAGAACACAAAAACACAGCAGGAAAAATTGTGAGTAAACCAGCATACACAAGACAGAATTTCAATTTAAAATTCCAATTGCAGGATAAACAACAATGTCTGTAGGAGTTGCTCAGTCAGTAAAACACGCAAAATGAAGATGACCACAGTGTTCAGGTATAAGTGCTATAAAGGATTGTAGGGTATTCGCTTTAAAATGTAGATGTTCAAATAGGTAGCTGTATCAGCATGCGTAGGCTGCAAAGGAACAGGTAAAGGTTGATTCAATGTTGAAACGGAAAGAGACAACGTTTCGGCTGTGGCGTTTTCTTCGGGCATCAAAAATGTAAACGCTTGGTCTGGGGTTTGTATGTTCTCTGTGCGTTTACACGGATTTCCTCCAGGTGCTCCAGTTCTGCCCACAGTCCATGCTGGAAGGTTAACTGGCCCTCGTGTGTGTCTGTGTGTGTCTGTGTGTGTCTGTGTGTGTCTGTGTGTGTCTGTGTGTGTCTGTGTGTGTCTGTGTGTGTCTGTGTGTGTCTGTGTG